ATGACTTCCCTTGTTTACCTGTACAAAGAGGGGAGGTGGGAAGGCTCTGCCAGTTGTTCAGGCCAGCCCTATTCTCATCCCCTTCAAGTACTGCTCTGATGGGGGAGGTCCTTCTGTATGCTGTGAATAGATGTTTCTCCTAATGGTTGATGAATGAATGCTGATTGGCAGTAGCCAAGCAAGAAGTATAGGGGGGCTATCGGACTAGGAGAATTCTGGGAAGAGAAAAGGTCAGGGAAGCAGTCGCCAGAGAGACACCATGTAGCTACTGGAAAGATAGGATGCTGCATTCTCCGGTAACATAAGGCCATGTGGAAATACATAGATTAATAGTTATGGGTTAATAATTAAGAGAAAGTTAGCCAGTAAGAAGCCTAAGCCATTTGCCAAACATATTATAATTAATAGAAGCCTCTGTGTTTTTATTTTGGACTAAAAGGCTGTTGGACCAGGCAGAACAGAAATTCCATCTTCAGGGCTTGAATAGAGAGTCAATAGAGGGCTTGGGAGAGTCTATGGAATCTTCTAGTATGAAATTTTGACTTAATGGATTTATGTCTACAGAGCATGGCATAAGCCAAACTAAAGAGTTATGTGCCCCAACCCATCCCTTCTTATTCATTATAACAACAGGAATAGAAGCCTTGGAGACACACAGGAGGAGTACACAGTCAATAAAATCGACCCAAGTGTCTGTTCATCCATAAAGTTTGAAGAAAAGCCACCAGGGACCAAGAGTATGTATGATGTATGTGTGTGAGAGTGTGTGTGTGCGTGTGTGTATCATAGGTCAACAAATATCAAGTGTTTTTCTTTCATTTCTCCTCTTCCCCTCTTTTAATAAATAGGGTCTTCCTATGTAGCCCTGACTAGTATGAAACTTGTTATGTAAGCTAAGTTGTTCTCAAACTCAGAGATCCACCTGCCCCTGATTCCTGAGTTCTGGGATTATTGGGATGAGCCACCATTTGCCCAGCCCAGTTTTTTCTATTGCACTCAAATGGAACTTCCAAGATTATGAAATACACGGCCATCTTAAACTGACAAGGTGGTGAGATTTTGTTTTCACTAAGTTTAGAGGGCCCTAGAATTCAGTTGACGAAGTCATCAATTCCCCTCCCCCATTTCCTTTTGATGTAAATTATAGACGTATAGCCTAGGTTGGCCACACTCTCTCAACCTTGCTTCTACCTTTAGGCTTTAGGGTTGTAGCATATATGGCTAGCTATGACAGACCCTTTGCCCATTTTTTGTCTTTAAATTTATCCATTTCAACACATAAGCTGTATCTATAGAGATAGTCAAAATAATTTAGGATATACAGTAGCCCTTTATTTTTCCCTCTAAGGAAAAAGATATTCTCTGTGGGTGACATTGGCCAGCCTGCTCTGTTGGCATAATGAGGAGGTGGCACAAAACTCTTATTATTAAAACCACCCTCATCTGTGAAGTTGCAAAAACTCAAAACAGTTACATATATTCCTGAAACTTGCTTCTTTTTTCTTCCAATATCAAAAATTCTTCCTAGGATAAAATATGGTGAGTGTGGTGGTGGCGCCTGCAATCCAAGCACTCAGCAGTTGAGGCAAAAGGATAATGAGTTCAAGGCCATCATGGGCTAAATAAAAGTACGTTTCCTCCAGAAATCTAGAATTTGATTAATTAAACAAAGTGAACCAACTAAAATCATTTCTATATCTGGAAAGAATTGCATTTTGTGTTGAAAAGGCAAAGCACTGCAGGGCAAATCATATCTGATTTTATCAGGAGGCCCAAGTGGTACCCATCATCTCCAAGTTTTCTTTTTCCCTCTCTGTTTTGTTATGACAAAGTACACAGCCATATCTGGGGCCTGTGATGAGGTCAAACATCATAGTACAAGTGGTAAAGCAAAGCTGTTTAGCTCAGAGTGGATAGGAAGCAGAGAGTAGGGGCTTAAGGCAGAGACAGGGGTCAGGGACTTGCTATTAGCCCCTAGAATGTGCCCTCAGTGACTTCATCTTCATTTTCAACAGGATCCTCCATCTTCCAATACGTCATTATGAACTGGTCAATGAATCTCTAATTAGGTCAGAGCCCTCTCAATCTAAAGCCTGCTTAATGATTGGCTCCACCAGCTGGGGACCAAGCCTTTGATACATGAGCCTTTAGGGAGACACTTTATATCAAATTATGTTGCTTTCCGCACCCACTTTTGCCTTTTTCTTTACTCAGAGTCAGCAAGTCATCAGCCTAATAGTATTTGAGAAGGCAGTGTATACATGATGCTCTGAAAGCACATTGCCCTGTGTAAAGATTGTTCTTGGCAATTTAGCAGTTTTGTGGCTGGATTGCAACTCCCTCTTCCTTCCTTCCTTCCTTCCTTCCTTCCTTCCTTCCTTCCTTCCTTTCTTTCTTTTTTGTTTTCTCTGGAAATCAAATGTTTAGGCTGCAGTTAGATCTGCTTGTGCACTTTTACAATTTGAAGTATTCAAACACTACAGTTACACATTTAGAAAGGGAACCCGATCTTGCTTGCTTTGTCTTTTTCTGCCTGCACCTTTTCCTTGTTTTATTGTTCCTAGTCTACCATAACTTTTTATATCTTGGCGTGTCTCTTCAGCATCTACTTCTACGATGTGGTGATATGGTCCTCCTCTGCGGTTTTTATTCAACAAGAACAACACTTTGGCCTCTTTGGACATGTTTTGTTTTGCCTCCCTTTGTGAACTTCCCCAGGGTGCATTGAAAGTTAAAGATTGGCTCCATTTTGGAATTTTCTTGAATCCCTTTTGGATAAAACTGCCAAAGAGTATAAGAAGCAGGGCTCAAACATGTCTAGGCTCTGCTGAGTCCTTGGAGGGTGACTCTGTATACCTGTTTCCTTCTATTCTTTCTGAGCCCATCTTTTCAAACATACTGAAGGAGCATTGGCATCTTTGGCTCATGTGGGAAAGGAGTCTGTGACCCTTAGAACTAAAAGAAGTGCTGGAACTCCTATCCATGCAGTAATACTCTTCTTTGTCCACTGACAGGGGGGAGCATTGTTTCTCACTCATTGAGTTTTTATCCCTTTTTATTCTCAACTCTCATCCATAAGTGATGGGGGTTGTCTTTCTGTATATATGTGCCTCTTATTGGTTGATGAATAAAACACTGTGGCCAATGAGGCAGGAAGATAGGTGGGTCTAGGAGACAAGAGAATTCTGGGGAAGGTAGGCAAGAATTGTCATGTAGAGCCCCGGAAGAGAAGATGCACAGGGTGATCTCCGGTAAGCCAAGACCACGTGGAAATATTTAGATTAATAGAAATGGGTTAATAATTAAGACAGAGCTAGCCAATAAGAAGTTCAAGCCACCGGCCTACAATTTTATACTTAATATAGTGTCTGTGTGTTTATTTGGGGCTGAGAAGGGCAGCAGGACCTGGCTGGACAAAAGAACCTCTTGTTACACTGAACAGTTAAAAAGTTCTTGTGGGTTATGGGGAAGATAGAAGTTGCTCTGAGAGTTTTAATCTGCAAAGGTGAGGGGATGGCAGAAGTATTGTGGAAGTAGTTGATTGGACAGTCTCAGCAGTGTTTAGTTAAAGGTGTGCTGGGTCACAAGGTCAAATTGACCTGATATATTATGTTGTTTGTTTACATTATGATTCCTCCTGTTCAAATAAATTAAACCCCAAATGGGTCAAACAATAAAAGATACTCTATTGTCTTCTGTAAGCAAACAGCTCAGGGGTAGGGCTGTCTTCATGAGCAGTTCTGTGCAGGTTTCAAATGGTACTACTACAAGGACTCCTGATTTTCTCTCCAGATGTTTTGCCTTTTCTCTTTGGTGTTGAGTTATTCATAGGTAGGCTGTCCCCTCAAACTCACAGGCTGGCTGCAGAGGCTCCTCGGTTCTCTTGTACAAGGGATGTGATAGTCAGCCATTTGTAGTGGAAGGGTTAGTTAATTTTGTAACACTTTGCTTCCTGTGAATCTGGAAATAGGAGAGAGCCTGGAGATCAGATGTGTCCTTTCCCAGGGCTACCGTAAATGATTCCTGGTGTTTGGTTGCCACTGCTGTTGCTTAGTAACAAAACCCTGATTCCTATTCAGTATTCTCCATCCACCTTGCGAATATATGCTTCAGGACTGAATTTTGGTTCATTTTGGCCCCTTTCCTCTCCACTATGATTGCCTTGACACAAATACGGTCTACAATTTCAGCAGGATGTAGAGGAAGACAGCTGCAGCTTTTTATGAAGCATCTCCCTGCACTTGACAAGGGTTACTGAAGCAGAGATAGCCTCTTGGCTTAGAGATTATTGTCTAGAGGCAAGGCTAGTAGCCATTGCTACTATTTAGTGGCTAGAGGGGAAGTAACACAAGGACCAAGCACAAAATACAAAGCTGATGAACTAAGGATCATCTCTCAAATGATGGAAGGAACCAAGGGCTTTGATGACACTTCAAAACTCCAGTATCGAGCAATGTGAGAGCCACCTTCAGACATCTTATGTGGGACCATAAATTTCTGTTGATTAAATTCTTTTTTGTTATACTTCCTTATTAAAAGAGGAGGTGTTCTTTGCAGTGGCTGTGTGATTTCCTGGTCTAGATTGTGAAGCTCTACTGTTTTATCTTACACACTGTATCTGGATTCAACTGAAAGCATTCCAGATGGTTCCTGGCCATTCAGCATGGGAAGGCGGTGTGTGATTGGCTGCAACCTGGATGATCCAAACCTCTTTCTTCTACTGCTTGCATCAGTTTTTCCTTATCAAGCCCATGGACTGAACATGGGAGATGAGGAGTATCCACTGAGCAATGAGAATATAGGTTCCATAAGATACTCAAATAGATAATGAAGCAAAATTACTGGATGTGCCAAGTTTTGTGCTTTTTCATGAGCCCTTCTTCCAAAGTTTCAGACTGGGTACACAATGGTTGTGAATGTGCACTTGGTCTGATGGCCCAGAAAACTCAACTCTTGCAGACGCTTTAGACCAAGGACAGATCTGCTAACACTGTTAGTTCATGTCAACATCCCATGAAGCCTTTCGGTTTGGAGATCCCACCAAACACAAATGTGACCCATGGCTGGATAGACGGAGAACTTTGCTGGAAGAGCCACCAGACCATCTTTCAGTAGCTATCACCCCTCGGGCCCTGTGGTTTTCAGGCCCTCATCTCATGTACTTCCTGAAGTTGAGCTGTGTCACGGCTCTCAGAATCAGTGTGGTATGTAGAAGAGGAGGGTTCAGGTCCTGCTTTGTCTAGGGGTTCCTGTTCTGTTGACTGGAATGTCATTGGTCAGGAGGGTTTTATAGTCAGCCATTCAAGACCAGAGGGCTTAGTTCATAAAATCCTGGAGACCTGATACACTCTGGGAAAACAGGGTGGTTTATGCTATTCCTGTTTCATCTTTGCCGAATGTGTTTCAACATCTGAAGATTTGAAAGATAAATACACGTTTTGGAAAATTTTCTGTATTTCTGTGTATGAACTTAAGTAACGTTATGGCAAGATAAACTAATCAATATTAAAATGCCTCTCTCCAAAGTTGTTTCCTCTGGGGCTGCACAGACTAGCATTTTTACCCAGAGATAATTAATGTGAACATGCTTGCTTTTGCTTTAAACAAAAACAAAGAAACCTGTATTTACTCAGATTGATTTTCAGAGGGAAGGAAACAGAATTCCAAGAACCTTTGTGGGAGGGTGGGAAGGATTGCACAGGGTCAACTTCCCTGGAGTCGATGCAGCCTTAAAGGGCCCCATTATCTTCTACTGCTCACTCTTCTGTGCTGACTGCACTGTAGCAAGGGCACTTCCATCTAGAGCTTCCAGAACTGACTCCACGGGTACACAGCCTCTGTCTGCCTGGACCTCTATTTGCCCATGAGTCTTTACTCCACGTCTGTGCCCTGCCTCTGAGGGCTGGATCATTGGATTCACCTTACAAGAAGAAAGCAGAGAAAAAAGATGCTCTCTGGGATAGTTCTCATAGCTATTCCCTCCAACCGCCTTTAAAAACAACAACAAAGACCCCCCCCCCACACACACACCCGAAACAAAACAAAAAACAAAACAAAACCTACCGATGACTGCCAGTCTAAAAAGATTAAAATTACCAGTCCTCTAATATTTCTTAAAGGAGACAGTCATGTTCGGTGTGATTAAAAATGGGTATTTATACAGCCGTCCAGAGGTTCGTGCTCCATAGAGGATTGACCTTTGACCTTGCTGCCTGAGTCCTTCCACACAAAACAGTCAAGCTCCTCATTTGGGCAGTGCCAGGTTTGGGCTTCAGGAGCAAGCCGTGCCAACTCTTCCTCGATGCTATTCTACATCTGGGATTTCAGTACCTACAGGGAACCAAACAATAAAGGCTGAACTTTAAGATTCATTGTCCACATATTTTGTTTGGGGATCTGGAAGGCCTGAAGACTATTTCAAGGAGTTTTTGAAAATGTCCCCAGGAAACGGGGGAGAATCCACCAATGTTCTTTGAGTTTGGCTGGAGCTCTGAGCACTTTGGTTCCTGGTGACACCCCATACCTGGAGCCTTCCCTATCTTAAGTGGTCCCTGGCTGGAGTCCTTCAGGGAAGAAGGGGGCGGGGTATCTGGGGATAGATACATCCGCACAAAGCCGCCTGTTTCCCCACCAAAGCCCTGAGAGGCGGAAGAACCAGTGCTCAGCATCTGGCTGGTGTTCAAGCGCTCTCGGGGCAGGCTTCAGGCAGTTTTGGGTCATTTCGAGCCCATTTTGCCTGGAATTGAATGTAAGGGCAAGCTAGGGTCACCACCTGCGGGCCGGGGGCTGGGCAGGCCACACACGCTGAGGAACGTGGAGGCCGGGTGAGTTAGAAAAATGTGACCCCGAGACCCTGAACGCCGCCAGGCTCCCTCTCCTGTGCTCCACCTGCTCGTCAGCGCCCAGCTGCCAGCCGGCCATGGCCAGCGCTCAGACCACGTGCCCACCGCCCAGGCTCATCGCTCAGGCCAGATGCAGACCCTGGGACGTGGGGGGAGTGCAGAGCTCCCCCAGGTAGGCGGGCTGCGGGGCGCAGAAGGGGGCGCTGCCCGGACCGCAGACTCTGCACCCTGGCGCAGATGGTGATGCGCGTCGCGGTGACCCGCGTGGTGGATTCGACCTCGGAGCTGGTCAGCGTAGAGCAGACTCTGCTTGGGCCTCTCCAGCAGGAGCGGCCCTTCCCCATCCATCTGAAGGTGAGTTTGTCCTGCGGTCCCCTTGGCCTGCAGCGTCTGGATGGAGTGAATGGGACAAGGAGGAGCAAGCAGGGTGTGGTCAACCTTCTGTGGGCGGGGAAGAGGGCAAAAGGAGACAAGCGCTGAGGACTGGCTTGTGTGACAGAGAGCTTGAGAACCAACCACCTGGGGTCCCCCTGGAACTAGATCTGGACCGGGATATATGTGTGTGTGTGTGTGTGTGTGTGTGTGTGTGTGTGTGTGTGTGGTGGGGGGGGG